AGCCTTGACAATTTTGATGGACCACCTGCCACAGCCCACATTTATTGCATGAATTAACATGTACTTACTTATTTATTAAAAAAAAAAACTCAATAAAGAGAAATTTATAATCTATATATATATTAAAGCTGAGCAGCTGGACATTTCCCTCCAAAACTACATTTAATACATTGTCATAAATGTTATCAATTTCTATGCATGATTTATGAACAAAAAATATTTATTACATATAAACAATTAATTTGTAGTATTATAATTGCATTGGAATTTGCACTCCTATTTTTCTTGACTAAATAAATGCTTCAACTACATATATTACCATGAAATAAATTTTGTTAACTTCTATGTATTATTTACCATTCAAACAATATCATAAATATTTGTTACAAATAAATACTTATTTTAGTCATAATAAATTATTATACAAATTCCCATTATATATATTTTTTTTTTCATAATCAATTATTTGTTACAAATAATATTTAATATTATACATAATTATTTATATGAATTCTCATCTCAATATCTCAATTATTATTTGTTTCTCTTCCCGTTTGCGAGTATGAGTTCCTTTCCTTATATATTATATTTTTTATAATAATAAGTTATCAATATTATTTAATCAATCACTAAAACAAAATTTAAAGTCAAATATTTTATTTAAAATCAATTATTATTTTTATTGGAACAAAATTTTTATTATTTTTTATAATAATAAGTTATCAATCTTAATTAATCAATCACTAAAACAAAATTTGAAGTCAAATATTTTATTTAAAATCAATTATTATTTTATTCAAATATTTTATTTAAAATCAATTATTATTTCAAATCAATTATTATTTGAAACATATACTCTATATTGATGGAATTTGCATACACATTAAGAAAATATGTAACCATCTCTTATTAATCTAATATTATATTATTTTATATCTTTATGTAATTCTAAGAAATTACAAGTGATCATTAATTTTGCATTAAGCACCTCATTCCTAAACAAGATATTTTAATTTAAATTGTGAAAAATCTAATCATTCACAAACTCTGATGTGAGCTGAAGTAAGAGTTAGTCAAGTCAACGTGTCATTCTTTTTAACAAAAATGCGAACTTAGAACTCCAAATTTCATACTTTGTTTTATTTTATTTTATAATATCTATATATATATAATAAGAATTAACATTTACCAAAAATAGTTAACAAAGATTTCCAGACATCATTTAATCCATACTATTTTTGGAAATTTTTTTATTTTTTAAATCAATAACATTAAATGAAATCGGACAAATTTTGGGATGGGATTCTCCCTATTATGAAAAATCGGAACAAATTTAGGATTTCGGGATTCTCTTTATTCTCTCGGTTTTGAGATTCTACTATTCTTAAAAAATTCCAGCATGTTTTTTTTCTAATAATACATCTCAGCAAGTTAGTAAAATTATTGCCTTAATTGCATGTTTTAATTTGAAAATCGATAATTTGGTCCCTAAATTAATCTTATCTGATTCACAATCAAGCACAAGGGAACCTTTCAGGCGAATCCAAATTCAAGTTCAAGAAATTAAAAGAAAAATAGATAATAAATTCTAAATAGAGATTATACCCTAATAATATTTAATCAAACTCAAGTTCAAGAAAATAAAAAATTAGAGGGCTCTAAATAGATCATACACACATTATTTTAACTCAAATAAAACCAACATTTTATGTTTTGCACATAAAATTTCTCTTTACAATAAGATGATTTGTTCTCAATTGTTCCACAAATATTCATAAACAAATAATCCAAATATTTTCAAACTGGATAAATTAATAATAAAATTACAGAAAATTAACCCATTAAATTTGCCATTGTTTTTTATTAAATTGTGTTATTTGTTGATTTTACGTGATTTCTGGAAATAGTTATCGTCGGTTGGAAACAAAAACATAAGATTCACAAGGTTAATTTGTGAATCGTTCTTGAGAATCGAACGAAACAAAGTTGAGGAAAAACATAAAATGGTAGGTGGATCTTATGAAAATCCTAAAAAGTTTGGGAAATTTTACCTTTTATATGTGAAACGGATTGTTCACGACCTCTAATCATTTTGACCGATTTAGACCGTCCTAACACCATTTTCGTGTATGTGGGTCATGTTAGTGTATATATTGAAAGCTTGACTTTTTGCGTTATTTACACTATTTCCTGTTAAATGAGAATTGCGTTCAACATAGAATGTTTTAGATACTTCTTACATATATATGTTACCCCGCATCTTCAATAATAATAGTATTTACCCGTGCATCGCACGGGCTACACACTAGTTTATTAGAAGACGACCACATATCCGCAACAAAGTTAGAAGATGGGCTCATTCTCTCTCAGGGATATGAACATTAGTACGATGGAGGTAGCTTTAGTGTAAAGTACATGCATGTATACAAATACAATAAAAAGTAATTACTAGTTTTACAAACAATGAGTTAAATATTAACATCTGCCTAAAATTGCGATTAAAAAGAAAAACAAAAAGACCAAAAAATGAATAATTCTGAATATGGGACCATTTCTCAAGTCCAANCAAAAAAAAAAAAAAGGACCAAAATGCAATTATGATTTATTATCATGAGTAGCTGAAACTATGTTCCTTTTGCATTTTTGTTTTTTGGATGTTACACAGTGGGACAAGATTGCAAGTGTGCAATTCATTGTCATAATATATAATGTCATAACACAGTGAAGCTAAGTTCAATAAATACAAAATGCGTGACAAAACAGTAGCAATGCGTGACAAAACAGTAGCCTTCCGAAGTTTTTTTTGGTGCTACTATTATTGTTGGCCCATGCTCAAAAAATATTCCGTTCATTTTTTAGTTTCAAATGTTGTTCTTGAATTTTTATTTATTTATATTTTTGTCATTATGATAATTTATTATTTACGAGTATTATTATTACAATCATGTTTTTACTTTTTATATGAAATCGTAGATGAATTTCACAATTTAAATTTACAATAAAAACATGATTTTCTTGAAATTATTTGTATGAATTGTATCTGGACATATTATATATCAACAGATTTAATATTAGCCTCCACGATTTAACTTTGCAAAATATTATTTGACAACATTACTGAGGCTTTTCAGCAATAAGGTTTTTCATTAGGGATTCATTTTCATATATTTTTATTGAAATAAAAAAAATAATGGATCTATAATATACCTTAGTTAATTTATTTCCATTAGGGACTCATTAAATTATTTTATTTTACTAGCCAAAAATATTTACGACCACGTGCATCTGATCACGTGCAATTTATTAGTGATATAAAAATGTCAATCTAGTAGTCTCATCACTTGAGTAACTCATGCAATTCTCACATTTTTTTGACAGTAGGACCAAAAACAATATTTGTGTCTCACAAAGCTATAAACTACTCCCTCCATTTTGAAATATAAGGCATTTAAGGTTATTGCACAAATATTAAGGAGACATTAATTAATGAATAAATTGACTAAATTAACCTTATTTACTCTAATCACAACCACTCCACACTTCCTTAATTTCAACACAATGAGGGTATATTTGGAAAAAAATGTAAAAATTTGTCTTGATTTTTGAGCGCGCCTTATATTTCAAAAAAATTGAGAAACTTTTATACGCCTTATATTTCAAAATGGAGGGAGTAATTTGCAAATTGTATACAGTGCACGGACCAAAAAAATAAGATGGTCATATGAATCAACTTGATTTTGAAAATATCTTGAAATGTTGAAGAAAATGAGGAAAGTATCTTGCAAGCTCTTGAAAATGTGATTCTGATACTCAGGAAAACAGGTCAATCTGAAATTTCCTTTAAAATACAAATGTAACTCAACTCAAAAATCAAAGTAATCTTCAATTATAATTGTGCAGAAACTTTTCTAAAATAAAGAAAGTGGAAAGCAATCCATGATAATATTATTTTGTAATCTTCAAATCGGATTTATCATTTATCTCATTATCTGAAAAAATAAATTTAATTTCCCACCCAAATACAGAACAATACAGAAAAGCTCTGCCCAGATAGAAAACACATTAAAAATCACATCTTTTTCTTCCCCATTGGGAGACTGATTTTTTTCCGAAATATAACTGCACACAGAAATATCCGAAGAAACTCACTCTAATAAAGAGAGGAGAGAAAAATGGTGGTACAAAGTAAGGGGTTTTGAGGAAGAAAAAAAAAAGCCCATTTCTTATGCGAAGTGTGTCATGGTAAATGTTCTTTTTGCTCGCATTTTATTGAAAATCTGTAGCTGTTCTTCTTTGTTTTCTAATTTTTGGTTTGCTTCATTTAGGTATTACCAGTTTTTGGTTTTTGGTAAAAATGTATAATATTCTTGGATGAATTTCAATGGGGTTTAAGGACCCAAAGTTTGACATTGTTCGAAAAAGTCCATGTGTTTCTTCTGATTAGAGCCAGCATAACAGTTTTTAAGAACGCTTGTTTTGGTTTTTGTGTAATTATCATGGCAATCAGATGTTTGAGGTGGGGTTGATAAAAGGTGGGATTTTTGGGTGGTTTGAAATCTCTGAGTTCTTACATACATTGTATACCATGTTGTTATAGTTGTTTCATTTTCATTGTCATGTTCTAATCGAAATATGTTGTGGGAATAGAGTTGTCAAGTGAGTTGTATAGAATATGGTTTTAATTTTGCATCTTAGATCGAGCTCAAACTCATTTATCGATTCGTTTAATTAATGACCCGAGCTCGGTTATTAGAAGTTCAACTTCGGCTCGGGTCGTTTACACCTCTACTGGGAAAGATAAAAAGGAGTGAACCAACTCTCAAAATTCTTAATTGTCAAGTACTCCTCGAGTAATTTTCGTATGATAGGGGCTCTTGAACTCTTGTGTTTTCTAACATACTATATTGGAAGCAGACGGTAGTAATTCGAGTCTGCTAGCAAGTTTGTGAAGTATATTCATAAAAATCGAGCGCGATTTTTTCCGATTCTCGTTCCGAAAAATGAACAATAATGAGAAATTCGAGCAGCGGTGGGAGTTCAGGCGGAAAGAGGTCGATGCCGACACCTCGAGTGAAGACAGCCAACCGAATGCAAGTGGGCCCCACGCTTTCAAGCAGAATTTAGTTGCTGGCCTCGTTTTGCTCGAAAATGACGAGGCAAGTGACAAACCGACTTTAGTCGCCGACGAAAAGAAAACCAAATCAAGCAAGAAGGCGAAAGGCAAGAAGAACAATGTTGCCGTTCAAAGGAAATCAAACAGCGTGCCAATCAAGAAAAATAAGCCGAACAGAAATCTCGAGAACGAGCATGCGACCATGTTTGAAGATCTCAAAGCCTTTGCCGATTCTTTAATGCAAGAACTCAGTGGTGACCGGGAGAATATGGTTACGCAGTTGAAGGATGAGATGAAAAAGCTTGCAGCCATTGTGTCGAAAAAGCTGGTTAGGAAGAAGAATAAAGAGAAACCCAAAAATTGCACGGTTATTAGAAACACGAAAGGCAAAGTGGGGTGTGATGCACGTAAATTGACAAAAACTTCATCCGAGCCCATCGAGAAAAACAAGGGAATTCTACAACTGACCAATAATGATGAGCTAAGCAGAGGTGGCAATGGAATATTGAATGTGCCAGCTGTCATCCCAAAACCGCAGTTTCAAAATCCGAGAACCCATTTGCCTTTGGGTGATCACAAATTTTATCGGCAATATGGGGAATTTCGTCCGGTAGAACAACAACTCGGGAGCTTTTCCAACATTTCAAATGGAAGTGTGGGTTTGATTGGACAAAACTACCCTCGAGCGCCTGACATTCCTTTCCCGGTCCCACTTGGTCATCTTGGGTCGCACGATGGGTCTAATGTTTCGAGCTTGACTTACTGTGATAAGATTAACGATGTGGGCCCGAGGTTGAACGGCATTAATAATGTGAATTTTCCTCAGAGGAATCAAATGTTATCGGGTCAATATTTTCCTTACGGCGGTGTGTTGAGTAAAGGTGGTGGGGAATATGTGTCTGTGAGGCCACAGGAAATCAAAGATGGCCAATTTTGCTTGGCTAGTTTGGGAAATCAACAGTGAGTAGGAAAAGAAGAGTTATTGTTTGCAGTTTATAGACCTTATTACTTGTTGTGCTGGTGAGTGTGAACAAGATCCCAGCTTAAAGGTGAGATTTTCTTTATTACTTTCAAGAGTTTGTTGATGCTTTCTATCTTTAGTAAACTGTGATTTTCCAGAGATGTTCTGATATCTAAATGAATAGTTGAATGGATATTTGTGTGATGAGGACATGAACATGATTATGTGATTTGTCAATCCTTTTTGTTCATATGAAATATGAAATATCTGCATCAAGAAACAATAAAAATAGAGAATCCTGGAATTAGGCTTTGTAACTGATGAGAGCTTTTGGCTTTGAGTTGACATTTTATCCTAACATGTCAAAATTGGCGTCAAAATCACAAGAAATGAAAAGGATATGGCTTTCCAATTTCATATTTTTAATATAATATAGCTTCATTAGTGTGACAAAAGACTGGCATTTTT